CTATTTTAAAAACATTAATAACAAAACTCACCATCTTAATCATTTTTTAGGTATGCAGTTCAGAGACAATTCCATTCAGACAGTGATGCACACCCTCACCAATAGTTACTTTGATTTGCTGTGTTTCATAAAGCATCCTAATGGGTGTGAACTAGTATATTACTGAGGCTTTTACTTATATTTCCCAAATACCTTTCACATTCAATTTTTTTCCCCATGTGATTCTTGGCCATGTATACATCTTCTTGGGGAAAAAAAAATTTACATGGGTCCTTTTAATCAGCTTGTCTTTTAATTATTTAGTTTAAAACTGGTTTTCATACTCTTGTAACAAGTTCTATATTACACCCAGGGCAATATTTTCTCCTATGCTCTTTTGTCTTTTCATTTTCAAATATTTTCTCCTATGCTGAGTTATCTTTTCATTTCTTTTCTTTTTTATTTGGAGACAGTGTCTCACTATGTTGCTCTGGCTAGTCAGGAACTTATTACATAGATCCACCTGCCTCTATTTCCTGAGTTTTGGGATTAAAGACATGCACCATTAAACTCAGCCTCTTTCACCATCATGTCCAGGCTTTTATCATTGCTTGATATGGTCCAATTTAATTATGTTGAGATTAATGTACTATTTTTTCCTTTATTACTGTGCTTTTGATGTCATCTAATAACATTTAGCACTTTAGTCTAACCAAAATACCAGGACCAACTGATTTATGAGTGTTAAGACTTATTTCTAGCTTTCTAAGTTCTTTTGTTGATCAATAATTTACTCTAATGGTAGTGTCAGACAGTTATGGTCACTTTAGCTTTACAGTAAGACTTAAATTCAATGCATTCTACTTTACTCTTCGTTCTCAGACCTTACTCACTATCCTACAACTTGTATTTACATAAATATTGAAATCTGCTTCAGTATTTGAAAATGGCATTAACAAAATAGTTCAGCAGGTAAAGGCGCTTGCTGCCAAGCCTGATAACCTGAATTTGGTTTTCCAGGACCCACATGGTAGGAAGAGAGAAATGACTATCACCAGGTTGTCATCTGACTTATACACACACATCATGGAACCCTCTTCCCAACAAGCAAATAAAAGTAATTCTAAGAGCACTGGCTCCAGAGGATCTGGGTTCAATTCGCAACACCCACATGGCAGCTCACATCTGTCAGGAACTCTAGTTCCAGATCTTCTGAGATCGTCAAACAAACATACATGTAGGCAAAACAACAATGAACATAAAATAAAAATAAATCATATTTAAAAAATTAAAAAAATGAAAAGAAGCCACCTCTAGTTTTGACAAGGGCTAAATAACCATATTATCTTCACAGAATTAATTCTCTTTAGCTTTGAAAATGGAGTATTTTCTATTTAGTCTTTTTAACAGTCTTTCAATGTTTTCCAGTTTTGAAGGTACAACACTAACTTACATTTTCTATCAGTTTATCTTAGATGTTTTATACTGTGAACATAACTGATTGTGTCTATTGCCCTATATCTTGTCACTAATGTCCACATGTACACACTATATCTTGTCTGTAATGGGCATGTGAACACATGCATACACACACAGGACAGTTTTGCTTCTTCCTTTCTAATCTGGATTTCTTATCTCATTTTCTAGTGGAATATCACTGACTAATAAATACATCTAGTATGATATTAAATAGAAGCCACAACAACACATACCTTTTTTGTTCTAGATGACATGTAAGTTGAAATAATTTCCTTATATTACTTGATATTGGGTGCACTGGTCTATATTTGAGAATATACAACAGTAACCCTTCCTTATCCCAAGTTTCAATTAACTCTTTATCAGTCATGATCTAATGATGAAAATTTCAAGAAATAGTTCATATTTTTTAAGTTGCAAGTCCTTCTGAGTAGTGTAATGAAACCTTATACTGTCCATTCTACCAAGAAATAAATCATCTCTTGGTCCAGTGTATAAATGGTGTATATTCATTTTTTTTCCTTTGAGACAAGATCTTACTATATAACCCTGGCTACCTGGAACTCATTATGTAGATAAGGATGGCCTCATACTAGAAAGATCTACCTGCCCCTGCTTCCCAGGTGCTAGATTAAAGGCATGCCCTACTACACTAGCTTCTCCTTCTTCCCTTCCTCCCTCCCTCTTTCATTCATTTTTGTTTGAGACAAGGTTTCTCTGTGTAGCCTCGACTGTCCTGGAACTCACTCTGAAGACCAGGCTGGCCTCAAACTAAAAGAGTTTCACCTGCCTCTGCCTCTTTTATGCTGTGATTAAGGGCATGCGCCACCACCACCCCACCACCACTCGGTTCTAGTTTCTTTATCTGATGTTTAAGAAAGATAGAAATTAAAGTAGTACTCCTATTTCCTTAGTACTTCAACACTAACAGTGGAAGCACTATAATGTGACAAATGCACAATGGCCAGAACAGTAGAATCTGGCTGTGTGTCAATAATTTCAAGAATGAAAACAATATTTTTAAAGTATACTTTTGTGTTTCTTAATCTGAATAAAAGACACCTTGAAGTAAGCATCAAAATCTATGAAAAATTATGTTTTATGAAATGGGATGCACTGTAAAAAAAAAAATCCAAAGTCTTCAGAGAATTTATAATTTATAAGGCAAATGACCAAAAGCAGAATAGTAGGAAGGCTATTAATTCTTCTTTCTAAGGTATTAAGCAACCTTTTCAAAAGTATCAGAAGTATAATAAAGTAAAGCTCATTTATTCACTCGGCAATTAATCATTTTAACAAATTTTTTATTAGTTGACTATGCTTGGTATAGTCATACAAAAATAGGTACAGGACCCATTTTTGTAAAGAAAGTAATAAGCTAAGTAATTATTTTTGGTTATTAGAAGTTTTTAAAATTTATTTTAAATGGGGGAGTTACTTTAAATTGTGTTTCTACCTATTGGAAGTTGGAAATACTGGACAAGTAAGACATCACCAATGAACAAAGTAATATTCAGGAACAAGAAATCCACCTTTCCAACTTCAATTCCATAACACCATTCCCTGAAGGATATGGTATGAAGGTGTGTTTGAAGTACCAACGTGTAAGTATCACATGTAATGAGTTGAAGACATCCAAGTTGTTTAGTGGCATATATGTGGACCCCCCCCCAAAAAAAGACCAATATACCTGAAAGTTTGTGCATAAGCAAAACTGGCAAAATTAAGATTAGAGAATGAGGCAGGGAGGTGACTCCACAGATAAAAACTGGAGATTCAGGGCATGTTAGAGGAAGAATAAGTACACTCTGTCTGCAATGTGGCATATAAAGGTAAAACAAATAATAGTTGTACTCTACTTCATAGTTAAGATCCTTAGTCTAATTTTTACTAAATGGTCCCTTTTTAAGAATGGAGAGAAAAAAACAGGCTGAGAAGAGATAAAAAAAAAACATGTTCCTAATAAGGTTACAACCCTAACAAATTAAGTCGCAAATCAGAGACATTTTATAACTAAAGTCAAGCCAGTAAGTATCTTCCTTTCAATTGTGCATTCAGAAGCAATAAAGTAGGGTTAAGATGGCAAAGCATGTCAAATGTCAAGTTAATAAGAAACATGGGCTTTACAAACAAGAAAAATCATAAGATGTAACAGTTAAGATGATTCTGATCTCTATACTACACACATAATACTTTTAAGAAAAGGATAAATTATACAAAATAATTACCCATGTGATCTATCAAATATTTAAAACTATACATCCCAGAACAGTAAGACTGTGTATGTAAAGAGACTAAATACAATTTTTAATTATAAACTGTGATGATTGATTTTTTTTTAATTGTCAAATTGATATAGCACAGACTCACTCGGGAAGAGAAAAACCTTCTATTAAAGAACTGCCTAGACCAGAATGGCCTATGGGAATATATATGGAGCACTGTCTTTATTTCTGACACATATAGGTGGGACCAAACCACTGTAGCAACACCACCTCTAAGCATATGGTCCTGAGCTATATGAGATAACTAGTTAACAAAAGCTAGCAAGCAAGGCAGCAATCAGCATTCCTGTCCATGATTTCTACTAGGAGTTCCTGCATGGACTTTCCTCAGTGATAGACCATGACCAGGATATGTAAACCAAACAAACCCTTCAACTCCCAAGTTACTTTTGGACAGAGTATTTTATAAACAGCAACCGAAAAGAAAAGACACAGTCCAACTAATTTAAATCTGTTTTATATTAGATTTAATGTATGCCCTATGGCATATACTTTTATTAAAAGTCAAAGTTTTTTTATTTTTTTAAATTAAAAGCAACCATATATCTATTTCCTGAACGTAGTTTCAAGAAAGCTGTTTCCATACTTTGCATGCCTGCCAAAGGGTACCAGTAGGAGGCTGAGGTGATGGTTCAAAGGGTAAGCATTAGGACTCATGTTCAAAACCACAGAACACATATCAAAAATTGAGAATTGTCACATGCATCTGTAACTCCGGCTCTATATAAAGGTCGAGACAGGAAGATCAGTGGGGCTCGATAGCCACTAGTAGAACTCCAGGGTCAGTGATAAACCCTGTTCTCAGGGGAATAAAGCAGACGGTGATGGAGCAGGAAACCTGGTATCTCCTCTGTCATCAGCACATAGGCCCAGGCATGCCTATCACACACATACCCCTCACATCTTTATATTTTTTTTCTGTGGATTCACAGAATTCATAATGTAAAAAGGCAATATAAATATGCTCTAATATCTTTTCCCAATCAATAAAAAGTACAAAGATTAAATATATATTCAAGCTCAAAAAAAAGTGTTACTATTCAGTACTTAGATGTAACACTGGTAAATACATTTGACTTAGCTACCTCAAGAACCAATGAAGTAAATAATGTAATTCTTTAACTCTACTAAATTTTAAAATAGCTTGACATCAGAGAACATTTTTATTTACGAAATACTCAAATAATCATCATCTAGTAATAAAATCTTTAAGTTGGAAATACCATGAATTCAACAACTTGAAATTTGCATACATACCTTTGTCCTTCTTAAAATCTAAAGCATCTTCTTTATCAGTCACTATTTCCTTCATATTGATGATACTCTGGTGGGTGAGTTGCCGAAGAATTTTAATTTCTCTAATTGCTGTAATTGGGAAGCCCTCCTTTTCATTATCCAGACGTACTTTTTTTAGGGCTACCATTTCTCCTATTAGACAGTTAAATAAAATCAGGTTACTAGCTAGCAAAAGATGACATTTTTCTTAATTTAAATACTTTTCTTATAATTTCCATTCCTACATTTTAAAATTATATTTTAGTTTCCAACATAACAAATAATATTTGTAGTTCAAGAAATTAACCTCTCAAGTAAATTATGGACCATTACACTACATTTAACACTATACAATTGGTTAGCATGAGGTTGGTCTGGATTTGTTTTATAGTCTGTATAGTTTTTATACAGAAAAAGATGGTCAAGAGTAGGTTTATTACCATTCTTTTCTGTAAAGAAGGGAAGGGTCAATATACCCAGGATATATATTAATTAATTAATTAATTAATTAATTAATTATTAATATATATTTATACTCTCATACTGTCTCTCACCTCTCTGAAAAGAAAATATACTCAAACATTTCTCGTCTATACTCACCAATTATCTAGTCATGATAATGGGATTCAAACTGTCTCAAAAATATGTTTTCCCTCATTATACTATATAACCACATAATTTAGGTATGTGTGAGTTTTGTATTGGACATCATGTAATTAATCAGACACGAATACACACACAAACACAAAGTTATTACAAGTTAAGCTTAGGTCAAGAAATGCTTTTAGATTTTGGAGATTTATGTTGAGATATTTGTTTATTATCTGATAAAGCTTGTCTGAAGATCAGAATGCAAAGATAACCATAGCCGTATAGGCCTGGCAGTGGTGGTACACACCTTTAATCCTAGCAGCCAACTAACCATAGAAGCTGGGTGGCGGTGGTGTACGCCTTTAATACCAGCAGTAGAGAGGAATATAAATCAGAAGGAGCCAGGAGCTCAAGGTCTCAGCATTCAGTTTGCAGTCATGCCAAGGACAGGATAGCCTCTTTAGTTGAACCTTGGTAGAGGTAAAAACTCTTTAGTGACTTGGCTGCTTTGCTTTTCTGATCTTCAGCTTGAACCCCAATATCTGTCTCTGGGTTTTTATTATTCGTGTTACAGGTTTAGGGTGTTTTGTTTTGTTTTATGGGAATGTAAATAGGCTGGGCATCAATCAACATAAGAAAAAGTTCACCATAATAAAGGAATATTCATTCATTTCACTTATTTGAAGGGAGGAAAAAAGGGACCAATATTACAAATTTTCTAAGGAAAAAAATTTATGCTCTTAATCTTTAAAATTTACTTTTTATTTTTATGACTTTTCCTTATAATATAGTGTTTTAATCACAAAGGCTTCTAAAAGTTACATTATAAATTATTGATAATATAATATAGATACCAATGGTTATTGTTATAACTACCTTCATTAATTTCTAACTATAAGGTGGTCTCCCATATACTAAATGGCCTCCAATAGATGTCAATTTTAATCCTAGTTCATGTTAAAAAGGAACTTACATTTAAAAAAATGTTAGTTCTGTTGGGCAATGACGACACACACCTTTAATCCCAGCACTTGGGAGGCAGAGGCACACGGACCTCTAAGATCGAGGCCAGCCTGGGCTACACAAAGAAATCCTGCCCCCTCCCATCCCATAAAGCTAGTTCTGTGCATTATTTAGTAAAATGACTAACTTCTAAGACAACTCATTTTTTTCTTTAGAGGTCTTTCAAAACTTCCCCCCCGATTCTTGATTATGCTCTGAAAAATTAATGTTCTGAAAAAATTTAAGCTTTGAATCTGGTCCAAAAGGTAATTTCTACAGGAGAAAAAGTTGGTCAAAAGAAAAATATTACTTGATTCTTAATATAAAATGACTTACTCCAAAGGGCAAGCATGGTGGAACATGCCTGTAACCCCAGCCCTCAAGAAGCTAAGGCAGGTGAGTCACAAGTTACAAGCAGCCTGGACTACATACTCAAAACCTTGCCTCAAAAAGAAAAAGAAAAACAAACTACTAATACTTTTGTCTAGGTACTAAGAGTTTTATTACTACTCACCACAAAAGGAAACACATAGATAAATCCCACCATGCATCATAGAACAAATACTGAAGGAACAATTTTAAGTTTGTTGTGTGCCCATATGTACTGATACTGATATAAGTATATAGAAAATGCATATGTAGAATAAAATTAAGACTAAACAACAGCACGAAGAATTTTCACTTCTTTGGAAATTCTTAAAGCTATACATAAGAAGAAAAACAGAAAGTGAGCAAGCACATTCCACCCAAAATTAACGTTCTTACCAGTGTCTTTGTCCCTGGCTTTGTAAACTTGTCCATAAGTACCTTCTCCAATAATACCGATGATATCAAATTTATCCACGCAGCGTTTTCCCCAGTCAATATCTTTTTCTTTGATTTCACCATAGCGAGGCCCACATATTCTATTAAATATAGTTCTGAAGTTTTTATAGACAATCAAGCAAACTCAATGAACTGTTTAATAATTCAAAATCGATCCCGCCCAATCTTAAATCTGTTACTTCATCCTATTCTTGTATATTTGTGAACATTCATGTAAAACAAGTTATTACTAGTTATTATAAACTTTCATTTAAAAACTTATAATGTCTACATACTGACTCTTCGGTAGATTAAAGTTTATAAAAGAGGAAAAAGAAGCAACAGTGCTTTGTTGAAGGCTGTTAGAAATGTACCTTTTAAGTAAGTGGGTAAAACCAACATTACTAGAAAGAGTCAAGATTCTCTGCCCAGCCTCTATAATGCTTTGTTTTTCTATCCAATGGCTCTCTCTCTTCCCATAAATGTGTGTGTATACATGTATATATAGAGAGAAGGGAGTATATGTGTGTATACACACACATACATATACAAAGTACAAGGCAACAAACACTAACTAAATGACTAAAAATTATGCACAAATTGAGATTCATAGAAGGATAAAACCACCATAAAAACATTGACGATTTTTCACTCAAACCAGTACAGAAAGTGTTAATCCATATAAAATCAAGACTTGGAATTCCATAGTTAGGTAGAGAGTAATCGATCTGACAAAAGTCAAATTCGTTAAAAAGATGTTATTTTGTAGTGTTTAAACTGTAGCAGGCCCACCACAGAAATTCAAGAATTGTAGCAAAAGGATTCAAGGATAGATTAATGCCTTTTCCTCATAATAGAAAATGATCTTATTTTTTTTTAAATACATATTGCCTGAAGAGCAATACTAAGTCAAATCTATCAGCAAAGTTTAAAAGTAGCAGTGTTTTTATTCTTTAGCTTCAAGGAAAAGAACTCTATCAGGTATTAAACATAAAACTACATCAGCTCCATTTTAAAAATTCTGTGTCTTAGAAAATTAAGGATGTATGCAGTTCTATGAGTAGTTAAAAGCAAAGGAAAACGCTGTCCATTACTGATTTTGTTTGAGCTCACTGAATGCTGTCTTCCACTTGAGCTATCTTAACTATAAATACCTTTGACACATACAACACCCCCAAATTAATAAATACAAACTGTAGGAAATTTTCATTTAGTTTTATTAGTCATGGCAAATAGGTACCACTCGTGAATTTGTTTCTACAGAACTCTCAACCAATCTGTACATTTATGTTTAAATAAAAATACACTTTTCAGTTTAAATCTTAGTGTTTTCTAAGTTTATAATGATCCAGGATATAATGTTTCCAGTCAAGTTAAGTGCAGGTAGAAAGCAAGCACATACTTAGGCCTTCTTTTGCTGTGTAACTGTGCTGCTGTTTTCTTCTCCTCTGGACTCTTAGCAAGATCATCTCCTCCTGGTAACTCGGGGGGCAACGGCAAATCAGCAAGCAGACATCGGAGTTTCTTTTCTACTTCTTTTTTAACTGCTTTTACAGAAATATTGCCTCTTAAGCTAAAGAAAAGAAAGGAGGGGCCACATAAACCACAAATATTTGATTATATGACTAAAAACATGGTCATATTTTAAGATTTAAGTAGCATGCAAAGCTGTATTTCCTATGTCACACTTCAAGTCCAGCTAAGAACACACTATTCTTCAATCACTAAGTAAAAAATGAAAAAAAATTAAGTAAAACCCATGGAAATCTGTAAAATGTAGATGATAATTAATAGTAATGTATTGATATTAACTGTAATAAATGTAAATAGAAATTCTAAACTATCTTTTTATCTTTGCAAATCTAAGGCTATTTTAATAAAATAAAGTCTAGAGAGCTGGAAAGATGGCTCCATGGGTAATGGTGCTAAACATACAAGCACAAAAACCTCAGTTCAAATCCCAAGAATCCACACAAAGCTGGATACAGCAGCATAAGTCTACAATTCCAGTTCCTAAAATTAAAGGGGGAGGAGGAAATAGGGGGAATCCCTCTAGAAAGCTCATGTGCTGGCTAGCCTGGTATTCACACCGAATTGGCCAAACAACAAAGGGAACTTGCCTAAAACAAGCTATAGCTTGTTTTATAATGTTAGGACCAACACCCAAGGTTGTCCTCTAACCCCATACCAGCACTATGGCATTCAAACGACACACACAATACACATATACAAATACAAATAAAACAACGAATTTTAAACTTAAAAAAATATATATCTAATTTTCAAAACTGTGAATTAAAACAGAAAAATCAACTTATTATGCTTTGCAAGAGGCCTCATTAATTTTGTAATTATTTGATTCTGGTAGGGAGGTGATACATCCTTTCTTTTAAGCGAATAAAACCACAAACTACAAATGACACGCCAGTATTCTCCTGCCAATTTACATAACCAAAACCAATTAAGTCAATATCAACTCTTCTTAGTGTAATTTTTCAAACTACATGACTTTCTTTTTTAATATTTATTTATTTTGTAAATGAATAATGTATCTATATGTACACCTGCATGCCAGAAGAGGGCACCTGATGGTTCTGAACCACCATGTGATTGCTGGGAATTGAAATCAGGACCCCTTAAAGGGCAGCCAGCACTGAGAAACTCTCCAGCCCATGACTTTCTAATTTTTCATGATACCTGTGATGGTTTAATTGATAATGAACCCCCATAGGCTTTGGTCCCTATTGCTGGAAGAATTAGAAGATACTCATTGTTGGAGGGGGTGTGTCACTGAGGGCAGGCTTTAAGGTTTTAAAGAGCCATTCATTCCCTGTACTCTCCTTTTACCTCCAATTTGTGGAGCTCTCAGAGTGGCATGCTGGCAAAAGCCTTTAATCCCAGCATCACTTGGGAGGTGGAGGCAGAGGCAAGAGGAGATCTGCAAGCTGTTCCTGCTGTCATGCCTTTGGTCTGCCACCATGAACTCTAACCCTTCATAACAGAATTATAAGTGAATTATAAGCTTGGTTGGTCCTATATTAAAAAAAAAAAAAAAAAAAAAAACCAAAGACTTGTAATTGAAATTTAAATTTTCCCAAATACTAAAAATCTATTACCTAATCAAGACATGTGAGAAACTCGTTTGGGTTAATCTTTTTTAAATTTTATAAGCCTAGATTATAAAGGGAAAATATTAAATCTGAATAGAAAATATCCACAATAAGTAAAAATGCAAATAAACAGGCCAGCTAGACACTGTCTCAACTAACAAACAAACAAACCCAAAAATAAATGTCAAAGAAAAACAATACTACAAATTTCAAAGGTCAAGACTTCTAATATGAGAAAACTCTACAATAAATTATGAGAAGGAACAACCTCAGGGAAGAACTAACGACCATGAACAAAATAATACACCATTGAGTGTTCCATCAGCAACAGATAAACACAAAAAAAGCTTAAAGATTGTAAAAAATTGAAATTGGTAAAATCTGTTACTTGATAAGATGATTCCATACCCCACCCCCACCTTTAAAAAAAAATAAGAGAGAGCCAGCCATGTAGGCTCAAGCCTTAAATACCAGCACTCTGGAGATTCAGGAGGCAAAGGCATGTAGATGCCAATCTGGTCTACAGTGTGAGTTCCATAACAGTCAGGGATACACTGAGAAACACTGTCTTGGGAATGGGGGTGTGGAGAAAAAAAAAAAGATGATTCCATACAGTTGACGATATAAATTGATATAATCTTGTTAGGATACAATTTGTTGGTCTTGTCTCTAATGTCTTAAATGTTTATAATTTGTCATATTCTGTCTTACAAAATTTGGCATATATATTATAAACCTCAGTCTTATTAATAGCACAAATATGATGTATTTATTGTTATAGATAAGCATTCTGGATCTGCCAGATTAACATGGAAAGATCTTCACCATAGTAAATGAAAAAAAAGAAGTGGGAGGGAGAGAGGAAGCTGTTAGTTTTTATAAAAACACAATGGTAACTATCTTTTGGAAGAAACAGTTTATTGCAGTTCTGGGAGAGGGGTCCAAAGTGGAGTCTGACACACACTATTCCACTGAGGCTCAAGGAGGCAGCTGTTCACTGAAAAGGTGAAAGGGTTTAGCTTAAAGGCGCACCTACCAGCCAAACCCAAATCAGATGGCTATAACTGATTATAACGTAGGAAAAAAGTTCCATTCGAATAAGAGGACTAGGTGGAGTAGGAAGAACTACCTTTTTAATGCTAGTTTTATTAACAGCTATTAAGAAGAATGATTAAATTAAAAAATCATCATTTGCAGTTCCTATTATAGTAACTATTTAGTAATCTTATTAGTGGGTGCTAAACCAGTAGATGACCAGTTGCAGGGAAAACATATCTTCAAACTGACCAATATACAGGGATATATCCTAAAGCGGGCATAAGTACCTTCTACATAGAGGTTTTAAGGCCATCACTTAACCAAGTTATCATATCACAGTTTAAAATTTTGTTCCTCATATAGTAAGAAGTGCCTAAAATCACCTCCTAAATATTCTGGCCAAAACTACCAGTATTTGTTCTCAACCTAACCAAGACCCAACTGATTTCTAAGTTTATAAGAAATGGGAAGGTTAGAGAAGAGCAAGTTAACTATCACCAACAAGAAATAATCAGACAAATTAAGAGTAAGACATACTATAAGACTGCAGATTCTTCAAATCATGGGGGTAAGTAACACTTGTAATTTGTCTTAGGTTACATTAACAGTACTTGTGTGTAAACTGAAAACTATGGCAACCACTTATTTTCAAAAAGATGTGTATACACTTTCCATATACAGGGAAATTAAGAGCAAAGAAATAGATATTAAATATTAGCATTTGTTGACTCTAGCCATTCTCAATCTGTGAGTCATAACCCCTTTGGGGGTCAAATGACCCTTTCACAGTGGTTGCCCAGGACCATCAGAAAACACAGATATTTACATTATGTATCATAACAGTAGCAAAATTACAGTTATGAAGTAGCAATGAAAATAATTTTATGACTGGGGATGACCACAACATGAGGAACTGTATTAAAAGGACACAGCATTTGGAAGGTTGAGACCCACTGCTCTAGAAGGTTTATAAATGGTAATTTTATTATTTAACCTTTTAAATTCCTGAATACATAAAAGTAACAATAGAGTACAGATTTACAAAAATCATAGTCATAGAATAACACACACAGCCTTTCACAGATTTATCTAAGGATGTAAATGTGGCAGATATCGGAGATAGAAGCATGCTTAAAGAAAGCAAAGGTGGAAAGCACTCCTTAAAACAAGCTCCTGAAAGTATGTAGACCACTACTGTTCTTTAAAATGATCTTTAAATATCCAGTGGAAAACAAGTAAATAAAAATGCTTTCCACATTCAGGTTCCCAGAAGCATTGTCAGAAAAGAAAAGATGATCTCTCGACTAATACCTGTTTAGCACAAAAGCAAGCAAGCAAACAAACAAACACACAAAAAAATGTTTACCAGGTTGCTAAAAAGAAACCTTTAGACATGAAACTACTCACTAAAATTGGTGAAAGGGGGTGTAGAGGTAAGGAATGGTTCCTTCTTTGTAAAAAGAGGAAGGGAAAAAGCCAACAGTTCTTAGCTTACAAAAACCTAAACACCAGTCCTTTTCAAACAAAGGATGAGATCTATTATACTTTTCAATTCTGCACAATAATAATTAGCCATTTTACTTTTTAAAAATGAAAACATTGTCGAGCGGTGATGGCGCATGCTTTTAATCCCAGCACTCGGGAGGCAGAGGCAGGCAGATCTATGTGAGTTCGAGACCAGCCTGTTCTACAAGAGCTAGTTCCAGGATGGCCTCCAAAGCCACAGAGAAACCCTGTCTCGAAAAACCGAGGGGGGGGGGATGATGAAAACATCATTAACCTAAGGTAGCTAATATTTCCCACAGTCCTAATTTATGCTAAAGTTGATAATCATAATATCTGAGATGCAAAGAACTTTGGCTTACAATATTCTATCAGGTCATTTAATTCAAATAACTATTCTGTGATTTTTTTTTCAGGATATTCTCATCTTTGGATATAACTACATGGAATAGAGCACAGAAAAACTGAAAATGTAAGACTATCAACAGCTATGATCTTCTATATGTAGTCTACTAACAAAATGTATTGTACTTCTAACAAAACTAACAAAAATATCTTCTGCCCTATCCAAGTAATTAATTCCTTCTAACCATTTTTCTTTTCCACAGTACATTTTTATTTAATCACTTAAAACTTCACTGAAAAGAATGTCTCCTCTTTCTACACTTTTGTTCTTAAATCAGTCACTGAAATTACTAGCATAATCATGTCTGTAGTAGCAGTGACAGTAAGAAAATTTCATATCCACAAAACATACAAACCCATTCAAGGAACAAAGACACACTGAAAGAGGAAAAGCAAGGGACAGTGTAGATAAAAAAAAAGCTACAGCTGGGTGTGGTAGTGCACACCCTTAATCCAAGCACTCAGGAGCCAGAGGTAGACAGATCTCTTGAGCCAAGAGGTTGGCCTGTTCTATACAGTAAATTCCAGATCAGCCAAGAGCTATAATATGCAAGGCCAGCTTGACCTCCTTATTTACCCACTCTCCCAAAAACAACAAAATAAAAAGGCTTTTACACTAACTTTGGTGAAGGATAAGCCAAGGAGCTAAATCATTTCTGAGTTTAAAGCTTCATTTTTCTTTGAACAGTTACTAACAAATTTCAAATTTGTTTGTACTTACCTATCAGCATCTTTCTCTTCAGGCAGCATGGGAGGCAAAGGTAATGGTGGTAATGTAGAGGTCATTAAAGGCCCATGTTGCTCCTTCTCCTTGGCTCCAACGCTTGGTGTAAGTGGCTTAGTTTTCTCTTTAGTAGATACTGGTTCTTCCTTTGTAGCAGCAGCTTTACTTTCCTTCCCAACAACTGTTTTCTTGGTGACTTTATCTACAATCAAGTTATTGTCTACCTTTGTTACTTGAAGGGGTGGCTTTGTCTTTGCTTTCTCACTTTTCAAGGTTCCACCACTTGAAGGAGAAGGTGCATGCTCAGTTTTAAGTTTCTTCACATCCTTCACATGGTTTGTTTGCGAAGCACTGGCACCAGTTTCTGTGTTGCCCTTGGTAGGGGTAGATGCATTTGAGGCTTTTGCAGCTTTGGCAGCTGCCTCTGCAGCTTTTGCTGCCTCTGCAGCTCTTGCTGCCTCTGCAGCTCGTGCCTTTTTATTTTTGTTCAATTCAGCAGCCAAGCTACTCTTGAGAGTTAGTGTGCTAGGAGAAATGCTTGAGTGACGACTTCTGGATCTAGACAATCTGTGTCTGCTACGAGATCTTGAGTGCCTAGATGAATATGGGCTTCTGCTTCGAGATTTGGCAGACCGTCTGATGGAAAATAATTAACATTTAGTCAGTAACCAAATTAAACTTTATAGAGTGCTAATTTGAATCTCTGAAGTCAAACAAATTTAACTGATTTCAGGATAATATAGCATCTCTGAAAGATTTTGTTGTTTTTAAGTAAAATACTAGATGACTTTTTTGTTTTTTCAAATTATTCTTCCTTTTCTCTGGCCTATGAATGCCCAAAGATAAGACAGGATTTAAAACAAAACAAACAAACAAACAAACAGACCATCACTACAAACTCAGAAAGGATCAACCAAAGACAGCATCAGGTAAAGTCTTCCACCCCCTTCCCACAGCCACATTTTCTGACACAAATTTTCTCTTTACCACCATGAGTCCTATTTTTGATACCTCAGAGTTCCCTGTTTGTTACTCCTCTTCTAAGTCCATCTCTAGCTCATCCCTGCAATCCCTTCAATTAAAAGTCTATCACCCACATGGAGGTTCACAAGCATCCCCAACTTCAGTTCCATGGGATTCGATACTCTCCCTCTTCGGACCTCTACAGGCTCCTGCACATACACAGTGGTGTGCATACATACAGGCTTGGATATGTACATACACACCCTAAATATTTTGTTGAAAAATGTGTCTATACTAGAAACGTCTTTGTGATAGCGCATGCCTTTAATCCCAGCACTCGGGAGACAGAGGCAGGCAGATCTCTGTGAGTTCGAGACCACCCTGGTCTAAAAAGAGCTAAGTTCCAGGACAGCCTCCAAAGCCACAGAGAAACCTGTCTTGAAAAACCAGGGGGGATGACATACGCTAGGTACTAAATGAGCGGTGATGGCGCATGCTTTTAATCCCAGCACTCGGGAGACAGAGGCAGGCAGATCTCTGTGAGTTCGAGACCACCCTGGTCTAAAAAGAGCTAAGTTCCAGGACAGCCTCCAAAGCCACAGAGAAACCTGTCTTGAAAAACCAGGGGGGATGACATACGCTAGGTACTAAATATTAAATTCACAAATTTTAACTCTACAGGAGGCAAGTTACTAGATTTTGGTTAAAATGATGATTCTAAAGTAGGACAGGTTAACACAGCAAAACTATCAAGCAGACAGACCATACTGAGGAAACTTTGTGGAAATTACAGGAAGCAAGAAATTCCAGGAACCCATAATGAAAACTAGCAGAAACAAAAGAATTGGACATTTCTATTTATGGCTGGTGTTATTACAATGTGGAAGGACATTTTTACAAACATTCTATAATTCTAAGATATAAACAAAATTACTAGGCTCAGGATTAATCAAAATTAAAATCCTGCTTCTTCCACATTCTTTCAAAACAAATATGGAAGGAAAAAAGGCCTACTTGTTTCAGCACTGAGCTATCACTGAATGTAAGTCCCATGCCTTGCATAAAAATATATACAATTATTTCAGAATAGTATAAACATTAATTTTAAAAATATTTTAACACATAAAGTGGTTGTACATACCAATTATTAAAATAAACATAAGCCTTCAATTAACTAAATACAAAGAAAGATGATTGTAAAATAACCTGCAAATGCTATATTAGGAAATGGCTACATTTTGTTTCTTCTCCCTTCAGAAGGGAGCTGAAGCTCCAAACAAATCAAATGTAATTCATATTTGTATCCCCTAATCAAAAAGATACCAATGAACAGCAAGAAAAAGCAGAAAGATGGTATTTCATCATAGGTAATAGCGGAGGCTTTTATAAAGCAATTTTTCTACAATATATTTGCTAGGACCACGACTCTGGTTACCTGTTTAACACAGATATAAAAACTGTATATAATACACTCTCAAACTCTGCTAAGTTGCTAGCAAATTCCAATGATACATTTACTATTTAGAACTAACATATTTTGGTAATCTAAAATTTAATATAAAAAACAAAACTCAAGTTTAGGTAATTTTTACTAATAGTTTTGCCATACATAACCAAAAAGTCATTACTCTTTTTAACTGATGTTTTCAGGCATATAGTTGTGAGGGTAAGAAAGAAATACATCTTCAAACCTACAACAAATTACACTATCTTACTAAACTTCTTTCTTATAAATAAAACTTTTCTTTTTAAATTTTTGTTCTTGGACTGACAAGACAGCTCAGTATTAAAGCACTTGCCACCAAATCTGAATACCAAGAGTTCAAGCTCTAAGGACCCACAAGGTGGAAAGAGAACCAATTGCTGCAATCTGTCTTCTGATCTCCATGTGCATGTGCCCGCGCACATACACACACACAAATAAACAATTAAAATGGGTTCTGATAGTTCTATTCTGTTGAATCTACAGAGAACATATACTAAGTATCCACTGCTTGTTTGTTTTGTTTTGTGGTTTTTTGAGACAGGGCTTCTCCATACAGCCCTGGCTATCCTGGAACTCACTCTGTAGACCAGGCTGGCTTCAAATCACAAAACTCTGCCTGCCTCTACCTACCAAGTACCAGGATTAAAGCAGTGTGCCACCACTGCTCAACTCATTGCTTGTTTAAGAAGGTTAAAGGTATCTTTAGGAGCTGAAAAGATGGCTTTGGAGCGGTAGTGGTTAAGAGCACATAGTAAGCTCAAAGGTTCAGCACCAAAGTCAAGCATCTGTCTCCAGGAGGTCCAAAGCCCTCTTCTGATCTCAATGGGCATTATACTCACTTACACATACATACACACAATTACAAAAGTTTTAAAAGACATCTTTTTAAAATACTAGGAGATTATCTTATGCTTTTTGTATGGTAATATTTTGTTTATGATCTAACAAATAATGTTTGCCTGAAGATCAGAGTGCAAAGCTAGTGCACACTAGTTAGCCATAGAGGCCAGGCAGTGATCTCCAGTCTAAGGAGAAACAGAGCTCACACAAAGGATTGATCCCAGCACCTGGAGTGACATGCCTTTAATCCCAGCACCAAAGGAGATGGAGACAGGAGTGATATGGCTGGTAGGAGAGAAGAATATAAGGCAAGAGGGAAACAAGTGAGAGATGTAGTCAGAGGAACAGTGCAGTCTAAGCAGTCTGAGGATGAAGTCTGAGGACAGGATCACCCCTTTGGTCTGAGCATTGGTAGAGATGAGAACTCTCTAGTGGCTGGCCACTTTGCTTCTCTGATCTTTAGCATTAACCCCAATATCTGACTCTGAGTTTTTAATACTAAGAACTAGATTTTGCTACAGCTTTGTCCCCTTTGCCATCACAGCTACTGCAACACTCCACAGCTCTCATCAAGCCCCTATAGCAATGAATTATTCTTGTCATTCCAGGGTTCCCTATTACTACTGACTAAGCATCCTTTGGGAGCTCCCTTAATCTGCATTACCTATGTGGTCTCTTTTTAATGTCTCCTAAACCATGTAAGTTGGATTTCACTCTTTTTAAAACTTTCACTAGCCTAGTGGTATGCCAAGTCTTAAGCCAAAATACTTTAATAAATGTTTAGCCTCCAAAATTATTTTGCTGAAAGAATACCCAATATTGAGCATCATTTGCCAATATAACCTCCTGGGATGACAGAAAACACAGAAGCTCGTGTAATAAATATCCAATACAGTAATCATTATCCCCAACATTTTTTAGCCTACTTTTTCTACCTGGCTTCTTACGACCTCATGAAATTCTAACAGTCACATTTACAACATGGTACATATATACAATGGAACATTAAACTAAAATAAAATCATGGCATTTGAGGGAAAAAAGAAAGAAAGCAGTAACTGTTATGTTAAACAGATTAAGCAAGATTCATTTTAAAAAAAACTGCATTTTTCTCTTAAATGTACTATTTAAATTTTAAAGGTCTCTCTCAAGTGTTTCTTAGCTACCTTCCTAAATTAAAACTTTAAATGGCTGGTCTACATAGTGAGTTCCAGACTAGCCAGGGCAACATAATAAGACACTGTCTCAAATAAAACAACAACAAAAAACCCCAGACAACAACAAATGATGTTCCTATGTCCTTTATTATGCACTGTTGTAAGCACTCTACTAATTATTTACAACAGAATTGTGGAAGAATCTTAAATGTATTTCATTTAAAATCTTCTACCTTATCTAATCTATACTACTAGAGATTCAAACTACTGGTTATATCAGAGGGTGTGAGAGGGTGTGGGTGGGTGGGGGGGTGGGTGTGTGTGTGTGTGTGTGTGGGTGTGGGTGTGTGTGTGTGTGTGTGTGTGTGTGTGTGTGTGTGTGTGTGTGTGTGTGTGTGTGTGTGTGTGTGTGTGTGTGTGTGTGTGTGTGTGTGTGTGTGTGTGTGTGTGTGTGTGTGTGTGTGTGTGTGTGTGTGTGTGTGTGTGTGTGTGTGTGTGTGTGTGTGTGTGTGTGTGTGTGTAGTTTTTTATATCCAGCACCATCTGAAATTAAGATTCAGGAAATACATACATCATCCTATTAATATTTCCTCCTTTAAACATTCTCTATTTTTAATTTTACTATTCTCAATCTGCTCAACCAGGCTATAAATTTCATTTCCTGATAAACACACGTTATCTCAAAAAAATGCCTTATCTTACCAATTCTGACTCTACATTCCCTTAGCCATACCCTCTGAATAGTTCCTACAATTGCTGTAACAAGCTACTTCAAACATAGTGACTTAGAGCAACAAATTATCTCACAGTTCTAGAGAGACAGAAATCCAGTGAGCTTGGAAAAAGTGAAGCATCTATCTCTGCTAAAATCTCTTGAAATAATCTGTTTTCCTACCTTTCCCAGTCTCATTTACTCAAGGCATCCATCACACAAGGCCTCTGCTTCCATCATTTCTTTCCTTGATGTATCTGGCATTTCTGACTCAACCCTACAGTCACCTTTCTATAAACCTCCTGGCAATCATACAGGAACTGCCTCAGTAGTTCTTTTTAATCATATTTTTTGCCACATTTTTGCCACAATATACTTTATATACACTTTCCAGGGAGTATAACATGGATATCTTAGGGGACCATTATGTATGTAGCCTACCATACTGTCCTCTTTCATGCTCAAAATCACTTTTCTC